ATGGTTTTTTTTTAATAAAATGGAGTACTACTCAGACATAAAGAATGAGAAATAAAGACATTTATAGCTAAATAGATGCATATTGAGGCCATCCTCTTAAGTGAAATAAATAGGACACACATGTGTAAATGCCAAATAGTTTCTCTAGTGTGAGAAACTGAGAGTGTAATTAAGGATTACAATGATTAAAATGAATAATTGATAATCTGAAATAGGAAGAAAAGGTCCAAAGGGGTAGGGGTAGTGCGAGGGGAAGGGGAGAGGAAAGAAGGGAAAGGAAAAATTATGAGAAAAGAAAAAATATGGAAATGAAGTCTGTGTAAATAGGGAAGGGCACATATGTAATGGGGAAAAAATAAGAACCAAGATATATCATGTACAGGTACAAGCACCCAATGATAAATGTAAACATATTATATACCTAAAATGTACCAATAAAAGAATTTAAGGAAAAAAAAAGAGTTAATGGAAATTTTAACTTCCCCACTTTTTGGCCACTTTGAATTATGCTTCTGTGAATAGTCATACAAACACTTGTTTAGATGTATGGTTTCATTTCACTTGTATATATATCTAGGAGCAGAGTTCCTGGTCATATGGTAAATCAATGTTAAACTTTCTGCGGAACTTTCAAACACTGCTGTGTAGTGTTACTCTGCTTCAAATTTTTCACTTAACTACAGTACGCTGCTAGTGAAAAGCTTCTGGTTTGATTTTGTTTTGTTACCAGGGATTGAATCCAGGGGTACTCTACTACTGAGCTACATTCCAAGTACTTTTTATTTTTTATTTTGAAACAGGGTCTTGCTAAGCTGCCCAGGATAGGCTCAAACTTTTATCCTCATGCCTCAGCCTCCCAAATAGCTGAGATTGTAGATGTGACCACCATGGACAGGTGTCATTGATTTTTAGCAAACCCAAGGGTTCTATCTACTTACTACAGGAAGTATAGCAGTGGAAGATTTTAGGTGGCCAGTGAATGACTGTATAGTGACATTAAAACCAACATCTGACCACATAAGAAAAATCAAAATCCCAAGTTCCTCCAAATGTACCTTCATCTGCAGTATTTCCCCAGCGCCTATCAGATAGAGATTTCATCTCTGAGGGTGTCTGGTAATGCCAATGAAATCATTTTTCTTTTAAAGCTTTAGCCAGCAATTACCTAGCTCCCCTCTCCCTTGAAGCTTCTTTCCCTACACATATGATCACCAGAAAAGAGTACTATTTGCCCCCAAACATCAGAATTCAAACCAGCACCCAGCTGCCATCTTGCCTAGGCACCCACAAAGCGTGTCCGGTGTGGAGCTTCTCTCCCTTCCATAGTCCCCACATCCATGGCGACCTCTGTGAGGCAATCAGAAAGGCCCAGCAGTGAGACAGCTCCAAGAACTCAAGGAAATCCAGGACGAGTCTAACACAAAGTCCATGCCTTCCCCAGCCCCAGAAGAGGTAAGCTGGGCGCACACAGGGGTGAGGTGATCGGTGCCACCACAGGCCTGGGGACGGGCAGCCCAAAACCCTTGACAGGACTTGTGGACACAAATGTGGGCCAGCTCTGCATCTGGGTGTTTGTTTTGGGGGGTACTGGGGATCAAACTTGGGTCCTTGTGCTTGCACAACAGGCGATGAAACCACTGAGCTAAATCCCTGGCTCATCTGGGTGTTTTTATGACATTGCCAAGGAAGTCTGTTATGATCCAATCTGCCTTCTCTCTTCCCTGTATTTTAGCAAAATATTAACCATGTTCCACCCAAGCTCCTCCACAATGATCTCTGTGGTCAATAATAATTCAGGTCTGTAGTGAGGCCTTTCCTGAATTCCCCCAGCTCTCCCTCCATGAGAGTCTTACTAAGACATAGGGCACTTGGCATACCCCATTACCCACCACCTGAAGTCCTTTAGGACAAACTTGGGCTTTCTTTCCCCTCACCACACCACTATTTTTGTAGGTAATTTGGGTGGCAGCTACCAAAAAGGCTACCAAATTTGAGGGTAAAGCATTTCCTTCTGTCCCTGCACCCCCACGGCCTGCAAGGGGATAAACTCTAACAAAGGCCTGTGAACGTGGAATCCTGAGAAGGTGAAGGAACTTTGAGGAAATGCCCCACATTCTAGATCTACCTGTTTCCAGCTGCTGCTTCCCTGGATGGTTTTCTGCCCTTACCACTTAGCGGGAAGAAAAGGAAAGAAGAAAGGATCTCTGGAAATCAGGACTCAGCTCTTGGCCTGCTGTCCTCTCTCTCCTCTGCAGATCCCCTCTGATTTCAGGTGCAGGCTCAGGACATGAGCTGAGCACAGGCTGGCCTGGCTGAGTCACAGTGGCCTGCACTGAACAAGGGTCTGGCACCTGCTGGTGGTGGCCAGCTTCAGGGAGGAGGGGATAGGACTCTCCAGACTGCACTTACCCTTCCAGTTCAAGTTAGAGGAGGAAAGTGACAATAATCAGTATAAGACCCTGGACATGAGAAAGGGAAGTTACAGAGACACCTAAGGAAATGAGTGCCAGAAGAAAACACTGGAAGGAGAATATGTTTGCTCCTTTTTTTAATGCAAAGGATGTTCTAGAAGAGGCTTTCCAGACAGAATCCTCTTCTGAACAAATAGCTGTAGATAAAAACAGGAAAATGGGAGGAATTTATCATTTCTCCAGTAGAAAGTTTCAAGAAGAAAATAAATTTAGGAGGAAAGAATATATTTCCCAGCTAAACGAACCAAATGTAAAAGGGAAGGGGATAAACATGTCAAAGAACGAAGCTGACACAAATTCTTCCTCCTGTGACTCATTTAATTTGCATGTTGTGAGTGAAAAAATCTTTAACAAAACAGAAGACCTCTCTACTGGGCACAGAAAGGAGTTACCAACTCTCCCACAGCAAGGCACGAGGAAGAAATTGACCAAAGGAATGTCCCCAAAACTTCACCTGAACCTTTTGAATGAAGAGCTGGAAGAACTCAATATGAAATGCAGAAAAATAGAAGAAGAATTTGAAAATGCTGAAAAAGAACTTTTGAACTCCAAAAAAGAAGTCTCCACAAAATCGCTACATTTTCAAGAATCAGGGACAGGTACTTTGAGGAAAGACTGGGAACTTCAAGCTTTAAAAAATGACCAATCTGAAAAAGCAACAAATGTTAAAAACTTAACTGAAGAGCTCCAGCAAGCCAAAGAAGTCATCCACAAGTTGAACCTAGAGAACAGAGCTTTAAAAGAAGCCACGAGGAAGCTAAAGCATCAGACTGCACTAGGAAATGCACTCCTGAGAGTAGATGTGAAATTTTAGTATGATTTAGAAATGGAAAAGATTCGCAGCGAGCTTGATGCCATCAAGAATGAGCTGAGATCTGAGAAAGACCTGCAGGTGAGAAATACCAGAGCCCTAGAGTTGCTTCGAAAACACCTCTCTGCAGTGTGAGGGCTGTCAGCTTCCTCTGACTGCTTTGCTGGGGAATTTTTTTAAACTTAAAAAAGCCTTTCATCAGGCAGATCATTGAGTCAAATCAATGTTTATTGTACTATCTTTGTGTACTACTCAATATGTATGTAACAATACAATTTTCACTTTTGGCAAAGCAGAGTATAAAACATATAGATCTTACCTTCAAAGCATCTGCTTTCTCTTTCCAGTGAAGTTATTGTGAGACTCCAAATGCAAATGAAGTTTCAGAAATCATACATCTATATAATATATATATATTTAACTCAAAAATACATAGTGATAAAAAAATACATAGTGATGTTGGAGATTTAGCTCAACAGCACTGCGCTTGCCTTGCAAGTGCAAGGTCCTGAGTTCCATCCCCGGTACCAAAAAAAAAAAAATACACAATGATTTGCCAGGGCATTTATGAATACAAATCAGTCATTTTGTGACCTTCTGAGCAATATGTCTTTGACCCATTAATATTCTCTCATCTGTTCATTGAGGTTAACAATAAAAATCTTGTTTATGTGTAGAAGCATTTAGAAAAAAGAAAATGAGCTGAATACCATAAGGAGATTATATGACTCAGGTAGAGTCAGCTGGCATAAATTTAAACCATTCAACAACTTCTTCCTGTTATCTACCTGTGTCTCAAATTTCCTTCCGATCAATGTGCTGATCTTTTAACCTGATCTTGACCTTATCTTTTTAGCCCTTCCATTCTACTTCCCCTGCCCTGCTTAGGTCAGCTTTTGTCTGGAAGTCCCCCAAATTCCCTGAAGAAAGGTCATCTTTTTATTTAGGCCTCATGCCAACTCCCTTTGGCCTCAGGTTGAAATTCTCCTCCTGGGGGTCACCTGGGCTGCACCCCCACCCCACCCTCCCCTGGGATCTCAGATCCACCTCCTCCAGATTCGCAGGACAGGCCCCCATCTCCTTTCTATAACTGGGTTTCTTGTTTCACTTCATGGTCGGCCTCCCCGCTTCTCCCCACCCCATCCCAGCCCAGGACACGAGGGTCACCAGCCCTAAGCAAGGGTCAGAGTGTCCCCACCCACAGATAGCCAAGACTTCCTACCCACTGTGACCAGAACACATCTGAATAGACTGGCAGTGTGTGGGTGTTTTATTTGAAACTGATTTCCCTGGGAGAGCAGTACCAAGCGCCCAAGCCTCAAATCTTCGCAGAAGATTTGCTGGAAGAAGGAAGTTGTTTCCACCTTGTAAAGCACACAGCTGCCACCCTACCACCCAGGCCCCCATCTTATTACAGGAGAGAACTTGGCAGGCATTTTCCCAAGAAGTAGGGCAAGTGATAGAAAAGGCCTTGGGGAAGGGAAAGGTCAGAGGGTGGATGATGCTGAGAGGTGCACGGGAAGAATAGGAACGTCCTGATGATAGTGACATAAGCATTATGCTAGGACTTAAATCCTGGCCTAATGGAAATCACTAAGAGCAGGCAGAGATTTTAGCCTTTGGGATCCTTTATTTTATAACGCGGTGTCAATCAGAGAGCACCAGCCCATCCCGGCAAATGGCAGTCGAGAGCCCGGTCTTCTGCTGCCCCCTTGCGGTGAGGAGGAGAAAGTTTAAACTCAGAGTTTCCGTGGCGTTGAGAAACTCAGGTTTAGAGCCAGAAGAGATCGATATAGAATCTCTTTTCGCCCGCCTTTCTTCACAGGTTAGGAAACTGAGCCCCAGACTGAAATTGAAGTCCCTTTCCTACTCCCTTGGTGTCACATGCCCTCTCCAGACAATTACACTCGCATCGTATGCACACTTCAGTCCTCGCAGTTCAGGCTATCAATGCACCCATCAGCAAAACCAAGTCCGTCCAAATCCATGGAAGTCTCATTCAGTGAAAACATCCCCAAGGGACCTCAGTCATGTGTGACAGGGCCAGGTAACCAGTAACAACTCTATTATTAACCCAATCTTACAGAAACTAAGGCTTAGAGAGGTTAAGTAACTTGCCCAAAGTCACCCAGGTGTATATGGCACAACGTGAATTCAAACTCAGGTCTGTAGTAGTATACATAGTCTGGGCTCTTAACTCTACCATTGTTTACTGTACTACACTGACTTTACCCCTGCTAGCTTCACTTCGCAAGGGACAGACATAAACAGAGAACCCATAAGGGCCTACTCACTACTTTCCTCCATCTACATCCTGTGATCTCCCTTCCCTTGCCTCCCAGAGCTGACTAAACACACTCACTACCTGGGCTTCCTGAAGTGTAGTCCTCAGACCAGCAGCTTCACCATCGCCCAAAGCTGATTAGAAATGCACCATCTTGGAAGTAGATACCAGGCCTTTGAATCTACTGCCTTGGTCCTGGTCTTTCCAGCCTCCATAATTGTGAGCAAAAAATTTATTTTAAAGTTTTATAAATTACACAGTCTAAGCATTATGCTACAGTAGCAAGGACTGACTGGGACACATACATTCAAAAAACTACAAAACACTGTTGAAAGAAATTAAAGATATAAATAAAGGGAAAGACATTCCATGTTCATGGATTAGAAAACTCAGCATTGTTGACAATATTCCCCAGATTGACTTATAGATTGAATGCAGTCTCTATCAAAATCTCCCTTGGCTTTTTTGAAGAATTAAACATGCAGATCCTTACATTCACATGGAAACTCAAGGGATCAGAATTTCTTGAACAGTCTTGAAAAACAAACAAAACTTCCTACAAAGTTAACAGTCACCAAGACAGTGTGGTACTGGCAGAAGGTCAGACATAGGCAGAATGGAACCAAATCGAGAGTCCAGAAATAAACCCACACATTCATGGTCAGCTGATTTCCAACAAGGGCACCAAGACAATTTAATGGGTAAAAGAATAATCTTTTCAACAAATGGTGCTAAGACAGTGGTCCACAGGCAATAGAAGTCAGACTGCATTTTAGTTTGGATAGGATTTGAGGGTAACTCCACAAGAGTACATGTGTTGAAATTTAATCCCTACTGTAAGGTATTTAAGAGGTGGAAACTTACTGTGATCATGGTGTTTAAGAAGTGGGGCCTTTGGGAGGTGATTAGGGTTAGAAAAAGTCATCGAGGTAGAGCCCATGATTGAGTCCTGCTGGCTCTAGCAGAAGAGAGATGGGAGTATACACACACACACACACACACACACACACACACACACTTTGCCTCTCACCATGTGATGCCCTGTGCCACCTTAGGACTCTGCAGCAAGAAGGTCATGGCCTGAAGTGAGCCTTAAACCTCTATCACCGTGAGATAAATACATCTTTTTTCCTGTAGAAAATTATCCAGCCTCAAGTATGTTGTTATAGTAATACAAAACAACCTAAGAGACCCTTACTTCATACCATATTTTAAAAATTAACTAAAGATATCAAAATCTAAGTGTAAGAGTCAAAACTATAAAATTTTTGGAAAACATTGTGTAAATCTTCATGATTTTAAATTACGATAATTTTAAATATTATTGTAAAAGCATGAGTAACAACAGAAAAACTAGATAAACTGAACATTATCAAAATTTTAAACTTCATGTTTCAAATGACAACTTTCAGGAAATGCAAAGACAGACTGAAAGTGGGAGAAAATTGTTATATATCATATATGATAGGGGACTTGTATCTAGAACACATAAAGGATGCTTTGAAGATGAAAAGACAACTCACTTTTTAAAGGCCAAAGGATTTATAGACATTCCTTGAAGATATACTAATGACCATGGAGCACGTGAAATAATATTCAGTATCATTGACCATAGAGAAATACAAATCAAAACCACAATGACTATACACCAACAATAAACCCACCAAGAAAGAAATCAAGAAAATAATCCCATCCACAGTAGCTTAAAAAAAACAAACTAGGAATTACCCTAACCAAGAAAGTGAAAGAACTCTGTAATAAAAACTACTACTCTGAAAAACAGAGTTTGAAGAGGACATCAGAAAATGGCAAACCATCCCCTGTTTCTGGATAGGCGAAATCAATAGTCTAAATGACCATATTACCAAAAATGATATATAGATTTAATGCGATCCCAATAGATTCTTTACAGAATAGAAAAAAATCCTAAAATTTATATGGAAACAGAAGAGACATAGAATAGACAAAGCTATCCTGGGAAAGAAGAACAAACCAGAAGAGAACACAATCCCAGACATCAAGTTATTACAGACATGCAGTTCAAGGGAACAGAGGACACAGAAACAACCCCAGGACCTTCAGCTAACTGATCTTCAACAGAGGGGCAAAAAAACATACACTGGAGAAAAGAGGAAAGACAAATGGTACAAAACTGGCTATCCACATGCGGAAGAGTAAATCTAGACCCATATCGTTCATTCTGTACTAAAATCAAATCAAAATCTATCAAAGACTTAGATATAAGAATAGAAACACAGAATTTGCTGGAAGGTAAAATAAGTAAAATCTTTTAATTTTATTTTTATTTTATTTTTATTTTTTGGTACCAAGGATCAAACCTGGGTCCTTGCACTTGAAGGCAGGTGGCAGAACCACTGAGCTAAATCCCTGGCCCCCAAAATAAGTAAAATATTGAAGACATAGGCAAGGGCAGGGAGTTTCTTAACAGAACTCCAAGTGCACAAGAAATAACACCAACCAATAGCCAACAAATACGATTATAGCAAATTAAAAAGCCTCTGCATAGCGAAGTAACCAACCAAAGTGAACAACCAAATGGGAAAAAAAATTTTGGTCACCTAACACTAGACAGTGTACTAATATCTAGAATATATAAAGAACTCAAAAAAATATTGGGCCCTCAAAATAAAAGATCCAATTTTAAAAAATGGACAATTGAAACAAATAGACTTTTCTCAAAAGAAGAGATACCAATGGCCAATAGTTATATGAAAAAATGTTCAGCATCTTTAGCTATTAAGAGAAATGCAAAATGGTAGGAATGTAAACTAGTTCAACCATTATGGAAATCATTATGGAGATTCCTCAAAACTAAAAGAAGAAATTCCATCTGACTCAGATATACTTCTTCTAGGTATCTTCCCCAAAGAGTTAAAGACATAATATTACAGTGACACATGCATGCCCATGTTTATAGCAGCACAGCTCATGATAGCTAAATCTTGCAAGTGCTGTATGCCCATCACCAAATGAATAAAGAAAATGTGATATATGAGAAAGCTGAAGCATAAATAAT